AAGAAATTGTCATATATTGTTTTCTTTTGGAGGTTGCTGTTGCCAACCAGACTAAGCTTATTCTTTAGCAGTAAGTACCTGTTATATCCATTGATTATTGAAACCTAAATTTTATAGTGCTCTTTAGACTGAAGCTGTTTTCTACTTCATACTCAAGAAATGTTTTCACATAAAATTTAAATGTCACGAAAATCATTGCAACTTCTCTTTGTGTTGTATTTCATTAGAGAGCCTAATTATGGTGATAGTGACAGAAACGTTTGAAATTTCTGTTTCTCAGTCTGTTTAATGTGTTTTATAAACGACACTTCATTATTTCATTTTAATTAGACTTGTGTGGTATGTGAAGCCAAAGGATTTACACAGGTTTTTTTTCCTTTTTTTTTTTTTTTTTTTTTTGCTTTGTTGTTACAATTAAGAGGGTATTTTTATCAAGAAAAACTTATGTTGACATGAATTCTTGGTAAGACCCTCATGTTGTTGACATTGGTTGTGAACCTTATTATATACTCCATCTCTAAAATTGATGCTATTGATTTGGCTTTTATAGCAGTTAGTCCTGTTTCAAACTAAATTTTATGCTGGATTAATAGGCAAATTATTAGGCTGTTCTTTTTGAAATTACCACTGATCCGGTCTTGCTAAGTGTGCTTCTGTCGTTAGGCTGACAGTGTGTATGTGCTACCTATAAAACTTTCCTCGTATAAAACGCAGAGCAAATGAAATGCAAATAAATTTTTTGTTACCTTGTAGTAGAAATGATTGGCTGTATTTCACAGAATGAGGCTTAGGAGATTTTTTCCTTTATGTTTTTAATGGCCCAATCCAGAAGGCATCTGAGAGCTGGCTTTATTTAGCATTTATTGAGATGGGCATAGTGTTGAGTGTGCATTAAATTGTGCGTACTGGTTTAACGATCAGAAAAGCTCATCACACTCTAGCTCCATCCTTCCTGCCTGCTCTGCCAGGAAGCTATGAGAAGATGTAGTACAGCTGGCTATCCTGGCTTTGAGCCATGCGGGGATTTGCCTACATATCAGGAATCCCCTCCTTTCCCTCAGAAAAATAACTCTCTCTTAGGCAAAAGTGCTAAAATAAAAGACAAGATCTAATTACACCATAAACTTTAACCACCTTTTTCTCCTATGTGAGAAATTTCTGTATTCATGCTGTGCTCGTTTTCATACTCATGCTAAGTGCAGGGCGAATGTTTTATAGGAAAAGATAAAATGAATGCAGTTTGAAAAGAAAAATGATTATTTTTTTCAGGTCATGGTCTTGCATGCCTGAAAGCTATCTTAACTGCATGTTTCGACCATTTTGCTGCAATGCTAATATTGCTACAATACAAATAATTGTCATCTTTACCACAGTTGAAAATGTTTGCACGGGTCGTAAAGATTTCCTCCCATGAAATCCCCTGTTTCCCTTGAATTTGACAATGGATAATGTAACCTTGAATTTGGTTACTTGTCTTTTATTGCACTTCCAAATATCTTTGACTGAGCAAGTCAAGTACTGTAAAGTTGCAGTTGAGAAGGTCCAGATTCCAGAAAAAAAATAAAAATAATAATTAAAAAAAAACAAAACACCTTATGGCAAAGAGAGGAAGAGAGTTTCAGTAAATCAGTTGTGCGACCCAGTTTATGATGGTAGCCACAAGCTGTGTGTATACCAGAGCTGAATAAGCATTGGCATGCAATAGCAAATGCCACCAAAACATGTGAGTCGTGGAACTGGACTGTGAAGCTCTACCAGAGAAGAGAACAGATTAAATAGTTAATTTTGAATCGTGGAGGCAGATCATACTGCTGTGTGCAAACGTGCAATGAGGTTGCTTTCTTTCTTCTCTCATGTGACTCATTCTCTCTAAGCAGAAGCAGCATTGTATGTATTAAGGAATCAGCTTGAAATGATGTGGAAGAATATAAAGTAAGAGAGAGCAAAAGGAAGTAATTTTCATTTAAATTGAGGCAGTGCCTCATAAAAGAACTGTACTTTTTAAAAACGTGTATCACTTAAACTGTTGTCAAAATTGAATGACAGTGTGTGTTATTTGCATTACCTTAAATTTCTTCGGTAATAAAATGATTCATCGTGCTACATACAGTGATTCCAGTAAGAATGCAAAAACTTTTTTTTTTTGCCAATGTGAATAATTATACATTAGGGTCCATGATTCCTGTCAGTATGTGGCTGCTGAAGAAACTGATCGTTACCCAGAATAATTACAAAGTACATCTCTTTCCATATTATTCTGTAGTATCCATTGCTCTAACTGTAGATTTCAGCCTAATAAACATGTCCATTAACGAAGCACTGCAAAGAATACTTCCCAGAAAACTTGCAAGTAGCCTGGCAGGCACTGTCTGGTGTTGCTCTGTCTGATCAGGACAGGGTCGGGGTTATAGCCTCGTGCCACCACGCACTCTACTGGCACTGAGCCTTCACTTCAGAGTCATTAAAAGCAGAGCCCTAACTTAAATTAACTATTTAAGAATGCCTGGCACCTTCTGAGGCAGGAAGACCAAGAGCAGCTACACTGCGTGGCAGATCTGGAAGAACTGTCCTCAGTGGACTGATGAATTTCTGTGTTTCCTGGTGGAGCGGTGCTTACTCTGGTGCAAAGCATGGTTGGTGAGCTCAGGGAGGTTTTGAAATGAACTTTTAAGGCTTTAGCCATTGTAGATAAATACTGGAACTATCCTGCTAATCAAAGGACCTTCATTATGGACTCCCGTTAGAGCTTCAGAGAAGAGACATCCTTGCTGAGTGTGACGTGCTTCTTCGAGTGGCACAGATTTTGTTGAGGAAAATTCCTCAGAATTTCGTGGCTCTCCGAGCAACAGATAGATTTAGATTGCATGGTGGTTTGTTTGTTTGTTTGTTTGTTTTGTAGGTTTTTTGATTTTTTTTTTTTTTTTACATAGCACAAATGGAGAGAGGTAAATCCCAGTCTAAGAGACTAGGATTTTTAAGGAAGTGCTACGGTGTAAATTACGCTCTCAAGCAGAGAAATAATGTAGTAAAATGGACTCTCTTCATTAATTGTCTGAGGATCTTTGACACTGTGTACAGCGATCACAGAAGATCTGTTAATTTTATACAGATAGGAGGCCTTAGCATTCTTCATAAGCAAGCCATAAGACTATCCAATGCAGAGGTAAATTGTACAATTTAAATTACTGCTTGAGAAAATGCTTGACTTCTGTCGTGTCTTCTGAAAATGTATATGGCTTTCTTGTTTTTTGGAAAACACTGAGAATCAGTTTCACATCAAAAAGGGTGAAAATATGAATGCTAAATAAAACAACGTGCTAAGTTTAGTCAAAAGCAATGTTTTGGGAGGACCCAGTATGTTAATGAACGTGTGTGACTTGTAATATTCATTTATTTATGAATATTTATTTATTTAAATATTTATTTATGGGGATTTAATACCCACTCAGAAATGCATGAGACAAGAAGGTCATGCCACCAACAAATGATGGTATATTAGTTTTTCATTTTAATCATTTTCCTTGCTATTTTTTAATTCTTTGGTATATTGCTTTTAATAGTGAAGTGTAGAATCTAAAGCTCGGTTTTCTTTTGAGACAAACTGATATGCATTTGGTACAGAAAAATGAATTGTGAGTTTTCATTGAGACTTTCTAGTGTCAGTATTTCCATAGGAAGAGCAGTTCTCAAAGAAGCTCATTTCCTGTAGCTAGCATTTCATTTTAAATGCCTTCAAAAAGACAAAATATTAAACTTTATATGTCTGTTTCACTTTTAAGAAATAAACCAAAAGTAATCTGGTCAATAAACCAAGTTACTGTATTTTCTGACATGCACTTTTGCATGGAATGCCTACTATTTGTTGTGTGTGTGTATTTAATTGCTGTTAAATTGTTTCATGTCTGCGTTTCTGTAGTGTAATTAAATGAGAAATATGGTGTGTTGATAAACAATTCTGTACTGGGACTACGACTGGGGATGTTCTGGTGTTGGACTAAGACTCTTTTCCAGAGCATCCTGGAAAAGAGCTTTTTATGCAGAGAGGCTGTACATAATGTCTTGTCTTCCCCTTATTTATTGTGAATATAACATAACCGATCGTGCTTTTCTTAGACAAGTGCACTTGGATTGTTTACTGTTCCACTCTGAATCTCTAAAAAATCATGAATTTTAGAAATTATTACTACATTATTGCAATTTATTGTTAACAAGCACTACAATTTATATAAAGTATATAAAGTTTTTTTATTAAAAATTTGTGAGATGTATTTTGGGAACGGAGAGTTGAGATGTTAGAATAAGACAAACTCAGAACAGGGATTGATATTTGCATCACTTTTAGATGATTCACTGAAAGCATTGATCTTCACATTTTTTCATTTAAATTAACAATCTGCTCTTTCAGGTGTTCTCGTTGGTTTTACACAATTGACTAGTATCAATGAATGGTGTGACCTGAACCTGAAGCTGGGCAACACATATGAAAGCCCATGATTGTGCACGTGTCTCAGAAGAAAAAACAAGAATTACCTAATAGATTTGTAATAACTCAGAAGTATTTTAGGTGTATTTCAAAGGAGAAGCTGGTCATGAATCCTTTGGGAAGTTCATGAACATTTTTTGCTTGTATGTCTTTTTTTTTTTTTTTTTTTTGTATCTTGGAGGATTTTTATTCATGAAATTTTGGTAGACAAATTGTAATAGGGTTAACACTGGGTACTGTCATTTGATTCCTAATGACTGGATAACATATATACCATTAAACTACAAGATTAAGAATATTGTCAATGTGAATCCTTGGTTTTTGATGTAAGAGTAAGTGAAGAATTCCTGGATTCTCTTTTTAGCTCAGCATTCTTCTTCAAACTTGAAATATTTAAAACATTTTTTTAGTCGTGGAGTTGCTTATTAAGTGGATGAAAAAACTTGAATTTTCAAAATAAGCAGTCTGTCTTCGTTGTTGCTTAATACAGCTTCATTTTGTCTTTCGTCTTTTCCAGGTATGAATACCAGCAAGAGTGAGACAGTGAAAGAACATCCCTTACAACCCTCTAGAAGATCGCTGCCATGCTTAGCTCAGAGCCAAACTCATCCTCAGAGTCTGAGCAAGCATTCTTCATTTCTGCAGCCAAATCGTGTGCAGCCACAGCCTCGGCCTCAGCCCCTAAGTGCAGGGACATCTACAGCTACAGTGGATGTAGTGTCAGAGCGAGGTAAGAGACTGTCTCTCAGCAGCTTCTTTCAACAGTGGGTATGGAAGGGCTCCTTGGGAACATTATTCATAGTCCTGTGATACCTTAGATACAGTTTTTTAGCATCTTCCATTAAATTACAGTGGCATCTGATAAGCTTTGATATGTTTGGGTATCTACAGTTTGTTGAGGAGATGGTGACAGAGTTGTATGCAACAGCTAGAAGAACCTTGGTGCTGAGTTTTTGAGTATAATCCCTATGTTTGAAGCTCAAATTTTGTAAAGTCTTTCCTTAACGTCGATAGGCACTAAATGTTACTCTAGTAAGTTATTTTACGAAGTTAAACTTCTCGGTGGAAGAGTGAAAGTCTTCAGTAAAGTGATAGTTTTTTTCTTCTGCCAGTGGAAAGTACTTATCAACACTTGAGCATATTTCTTGTGTTTTGAGTCACTGACGGCTTTAAAAAATGTATCGTGCTTTGATACCTGTGTATGATGATATGACTATTGCTTTTATTCCAGCTAAAGTGATGGAGACTTTGGAAAACAACTTGATCAAGCTGTCTAATACAGAATACAGTGATCCATTTTTAGGTAAGGTTGTCTGAACTAAAGTAATAACAAATTGCCGATGCTTCTATTATACTTGTGGTATTTCTGTGTGGAAGAGCAATACTCATCCTGAACTGCCAGGTTGTTTTGAAATGGGAGAATAAATGTGACTAATGAAGTGTGTGCTATCATAGATATTTTAAGGGAGACATTTCAGAAAGTTCCGTAATACTTTCTCAATTTTTAGACCAACAGTAAATAGTGATTAAAGAGACATGTATCTTTTCATACATTTAATGTAACCTCTTTCCATAACAGTCCTTCATAATACAATCACTTTGAAGCATACTTTAGAAATTCCTTTGAAATTGTGGGTTTTTCTGCTATTATTATTATTCCTGTATATTACTTTGTTCAGGATTGTCATGGTTGCAGTTGTTGTTATGTTGTTTTTGTTCTACATATTCACACACACAGGATCTGGAGGAAAAAAAAAAATTACACAGAAAAATAGCTGTAATTGGGGCATATTTGTACCTGCACTTAATGCTATTCTGATGCTGAAAGCCAAAGAAAGTAGAAAAGCCTTAAAATAATGTCATCCTTGCAATGTCAAACAGAGACTATGTACACACAAAAGGAATAACTTGTAGGTTCCAGAACTATTTTTTAAATTCCTTGTCTGTATATCCCCCATTAGAAGTACATAAAGATTTTGCTGTACCTTGCACAACTACTGTGAAAGCTTTTTTTGTTCAGAGTCAGTGTAGCATCCAACTAAAAATGTTATCTTCATGCTGAAGGAAAGAGATTTGCTTTCAGAAAGCTATTTCTGCTTAGCTCTCACTCATTCTTTTTTTATTGATTTTTCTTGCTTCCTAAAATACATGATAGAGAAAAAATTCTTCAGAGTCTCCTAAAGCAGTGGCTACTGGAAATGTGAGTGAAACTGATAGTTACTCCAAAACAAAGTAAAAATGTTTCAAAATCATGACAGAGTCCAAAAACTTAGCATGAAGATTGTGTTAGAAAAACACACGTCTCAGGTTCCTGCTGAAGTTAGTGCTGTCGCTCAGTGTAATTGGTATCATTGGGTAGGCCAGTATGGGTATGAGAAGTTTACACGGTTACTCTTAGTTTGTTTGTTTTTTTTAATCCTGTTCTTTTATTTTATTTCATTTTTTTATGTATTTCATTTTATTATTTTATTTATTTCATTAATTGCTTACATATACACATATTGATATTATTGTGTATTTATGTGTGGTAGAGGAAATCTTTTCTTTTAGTAAGTGATGCACTATTCTTCCTTCATATCCACTTGGTTTTCACCTGAAAATAAATGTGGAGACCTCAGAGACTGAGGAAAAGATAGATCAAGTCCCATCAGCTCAAAATTGTATTAAACTTTTCTGTGGATGGTCTCTTCTGATTATGGCCATGCTATTTGAAGAGAAAGAAGAAAATACTTAAATGGTAGCCTTTTTCTAAGGTAATTTGCATGTGTAAATCGAGACACTCCCCAATTATATCACTAAAATAAGTGGAACTATTATATAATTAAAGAAGTGTGATTGGTTGGGATCTTCACCTACAGGCACGAAACAGTATTTATAAATAAATCCCAGAAAGGAGTAGTAGAGGTTGTATTAGATAAAATCAGCATTAAGCTCACCAAGAGAAATCAGAGACAGTTAAAAATAAATAAATAAATAAATAAATAACCTCTCTGTAAACCTTCAAAATTCATATATTTTTTTCCTTTTGAGGATCTTGTTTATGTGGATAAGAAATTGTCTGCAAGACTGAGCCATTCTGTGATTCTAAAGCGAAAATAGTTTTTTTTCCTGAATCTGAACAGTCAAGGGAGTATTGCTGCTTGAGCTTTGATCACCAAGGAAGTGAGAATGATGCAGTGCTGCTCCAAGCTTTAGTCGGCATTCTGGCACTTTGATAGAGTTTGCAAAACAGTCTGACTAATGGGTATCATCTTTTTAAGAAACCTTTTCAAACCGTTCTCCTGAGAACATGAAAGAATACTGAATTAAGTGTTTGTGGTGAATTTTTAATTAGACTGTATCGTGGAAGTGTACACAAAATAGACTAAGTGGCTTTCTTCTCCTTCAGAATTGTAACTGACTGGATCTTCTACCTTTTTGTGAGAAAGGGATTTATAGGCATCAGATAAACGATTTGAATTCAGTGGAAAGCTTCTCCTTTAATTAATTGACTGTAGCTAAGGCCATAAATGTGTTGCACTTATTTAGTCAGTAATACTGATGAATTTGTAAAGTAGGCAGATCATGTATTACACCTTTGTTACAGATAACACAGCCAAACAGAATCAAGGACATAATGGTTTTATGTGTTCATTGTTTTGTGTGGTTTTTTTTCTCCTCTGTCAGTTTTAGGTGGTGAGTAGTGTTTTTAATTTGAGGAATCAGGAAATTCAAGGAAAGAAATAGGCCCTGAACTTTTGTAATGTATAATGTGATCTGTGGGGTTTCAGATGTGCTGTAATGCTCTGTGCTTAGCCAAAGCTTAGTGCAAATTCGCATCCAGCAAAGGTTAATGGGGCCTTTAGATCTTACACAAGCTTGAAAGCACCTGATGCTTGGTTCTGGACCTTTAATAAACAGGATTCATTGCATTTCTCAAAGTGTGGTTGTAGAAATTTTCTATTCTCTCCAGAGCAAATCATGCTATTGCTTTTACTTCCTTGAAAATGTTCCTTCTCTTCCTAAGTTTTTGAATTATAGAAGAGTATTAAGTTATTTTGTCAACTGTCTGACCCTGTCTCTTATTTTAGCTTGAGTTTTCAATAGGCAAATCTGAAATCTGAGCTTGCTGTTCACCAAGGACATTAATCACTCAAGCTTCAGGGCAGCTTCTTTTATGACTTGTACTTTTCTAATGAGTTAAATATTCCTCAGTTTTGAGTGTTGAGAAAACAGCTTTTTACCTAAGACCTTCCCTAACAGACACATATGCCTGCTAACCAATATAGTATGGCTCCAACTCTGGATGTGTACATGGAAAAACCAGTTACAGTGAATTTGTTCTCAACAGAAATAAATTTGTCAACCCATTTAGCTACAAGTAGCTAGTCAAATCCAGTAACCACACATGTGGGGGAATTTCCTGAATAAGTTCCTTGATGCGAAAATCCAAGTTCGTCAAGACTTCTTTGAAAATATCTGTGGGAGAAGATTTCTGACAGTGGGGGAGATGTGCAGAGTAACCAGTACCCTGACAGGCAAGCTGTCTGTCAAGGAGTGGAAAGCTGAGAGCTGAGTTACTGATTTCTGCAAGAGTGGTACACACAGCAACTTAGTGACATTGTTACAGTCTGTAAAACCTGGAATTTTTCTTGAAAGATGCCTGAAGTTTTTGTTCTAGTATTAAACTGGAAAACTTCAGAGCAACTGTTATAGAGACAGTATTTACTGCCTAGCTAACATCTTTGATGCCAGACACGGCGGAGATGCTTATGTAGGATAACAGACACACTCAGGCTGGCTCAGTATGGTATTTCAAGTAGGAAGAACAGGATGTTTGTGATAGAGCACTTACCTGCAGTGCGTTCTCATGTTAACAATATGGCCGTACATTTTGTGATGAAAACTACAGGATCTGTATGACTTTGTGTCACGTTGCACAAATTAAATTTCAGGAGACAATGCATGTTATGTTGATGTGATAGTCACAAATAATTAAAATGTGTAGTTATAGCAACATGAGAAAACCCTATGCATGGAAATCTGGGTTACACAAGAACATGGACATTAATATTACTGAATTTATTACCATAAAAATATTACAATGTCATCCATTTTTAATAGGTTTGAAAGTCATACCAATGCAACTCAAGCAGTTGACATTCACCCTCTCAAAGGGAATTCAACATTGTGCTTTCTAAGTCTTCTCTCTGTGGATATTTGCTTGAACATACTGGTTTATATTTACGTTCTTTTCTGATTTTTTTGTGCTTTGTTTTTCTTCTGAACGATGTGCTCAGCAATTAGTTCAGTAGTGCCAGCTGGATTTAAATGACATGGGAGGTTTGATTTCAGTTACTAAATTTGCCTTTACTGCAGCTACCAATAATAGTGGCTCTAGGTAGAGTTAGACAAAGTAATTAAGTGGGAAATATTTAGTAGGAGCAACCACATACAGAAAGTCAAATGCCAAAAATGACATGAGCTCCTTCCTGTAATGCATAGTATGGATTAAATATATATATATATATATATATATATATATATATATAAAACTGTCTAAGGCTCACAGAAACAGGAAATAATCTTCCACTGAGTATTTGGACAGATAGGTGGCATGTTTTTCTACCTGCTAAGTTCATTTGAATCACTAAAACTACTGTCATTAGTGTTGCCAGGTTTGAATTATTTTATGTCTACTTCCAAACCTCGTAAGCCAGATTTACAAAGGGATTTCTTATTACAATACAGATTAATGTTGTTTAAATTCCTGTTTAACGCGTAAATAGCTAGGGCACCAAGATTTTGAGAAGTTAGGCTGTAGCAAAAGTACAGTTAAACTAGGAGGAAAAACTTGTGAATCTGATGCTCAGTCTACTTGTTAACTTGAAAATCTAATTTGCTCGTTCTGACAGAAATATATGCATATAAGTAGCTTTCTAAACTGTGTCAAAGTAGGCAGAACTATGACATGCTGAAATGTCTCATTTCAATTAAGATGTCAAAAATGAGCAATGGATAATACAATCAATAGAAATTGGCATTCAGGGTTTAGCTATAATGAGCATCTAATTTTAATTTATTTGGCAGTTTTTATCAGCTGCCTCATTAACAATTAAAACTTCGTAATTCATTTATTCTTTTTTTTTTTTTTTCCTCTGAATTAGGTCAATTATTAGTGCTTTATGCATAGTAATGCAGAGATTGCAAAGAATATGATTCAAGAATATGACTCAGGCTTAATTTCTGCTTCAACAGAAAAGTGATGTTTCCATTGTGATTCTTAGAATACATTTTTCAAAACCTTGTTTCATCTTCAGGTAA